AATAAAGTTCTAAGTTCTCTACTAGTTCTTTAATAAATATAATCTTTTGGCTTTAAAAATAAACTTCTCTAACGAACTGACACAGTGAAGTAATATTCTACTTTGACACTGTTGGGAGTTCCCCTTCCATGTCTTATGTTACTTGGGATGTATTAAGAAGGCTATACCACTTGTAACAATATCACAAGGTCTGAGAAATTATTCAAATTCGTCAACAGTAAGATTTGAACCCCAGACCTATTGCATAGCAATCTGACAACCTAACCACTATACTAGGTTACCAAATCTAAGAACTGGATTTATACAAACATTAACAAGAATATAATTCAAATAAATTTGTAAAATAGGTATATGACCACTTTGGTAAGATTCATTTTTGAGATTAATTAGAGCTTTGTAACTCATAATATATTAAACAAATGTATTCTGAAAATACCTAAATTATATGATAAATAAATCTATAAACAAGTTAGCTAGCTTAAACAATCAGATGTAATGATGATATTAATTTGAAATGAAAAGAAAGATTAATTATCAGAGTGTTTAAATAGATAACTCATAGACAAGTTACAAATATAATAATATAATGTAAAATCAACAGATAGCTAATTGTCTGTATAGCATACTACTTAAATTAAACAATGACTAAAATTATATGTATGGCTTATTATATACTTATCATGTAATTAGAAAACCTTAGAAGATTACTATTTTAATAACTCCATAATATAAAATCCAATCAGCTAAGAAAGCAGTCTTAATAATAAATAATAATAATAATAATAATAATAATAAATTTTACAACTAATTCTAACCTCTAATTTGAATTATGCGAATGTGTAAATTAAAGTAAAAAAATTTTCAGCGAATTTCATCAGGTGGTTGTTAAGATATCTTCGTTTAAAATTTCAAAAAAACTTGAAATATCATAGCTTACAATTTAATATTTTGAAATTTTACCCAACTTCGATTGAAGATGTCTCAACAACCATCTGATGAAATTCGCTGAACTTTTTTTATTGGATTCTACAAATATCAGGAATTATAATAAAAAAAAATTCATCGAATTTCACCAGGCGGTTGTTGAGATAACTTCGTTTAAAATTTTAAAAAATGTTACCGTTACTAATATATAGTGTAAGTGTACGATCACGTAGTTTAGGTAAGTACAAAAATCACGTGAATGGTAAGTGTCCTCCCTTAAAGGCGATGGCACCATACCAGAAAAGTTTAAGGTCGGGTTGGCATTGATTCATTAATATGATTGGACTGTTCTTGAGAGATGTAAGGGACAATTTATACCACTACGTAACATCTGAGTTTCTATAGTTTAAAAAAAAAAAAAAAAAAAAGCAAAAAAAAAAAAAAAAAAATTTGGTTAATTCTATTGCTAATCGTGACAAATGGAGACTGCGGATAAGAACAAAAAACGTAGCGAACGAACTCCTGAAAGTTGCGAAGATTCCACTGATAAACAGCCATTCGATCTTAAAAGTAACCCTGAACATTCAAACAAACGTCCAAGAGTCGAAGCGAATAATAATCCTTATCTCGCACACCGCCAATTTAACAAAAGTCCACTTGATGGCTGGTTTCCAGGAAAAACTACTGCTGAACAAGCTAAAATAGCTGAAGATGGTGATATAAATCCGTTCGCAAATAAACCTTTTAGTAAGCGATATCGTGAAATTTTAAAGTCTCGGCGAACCTTACCGGTACACGCACAAAGAAAGGAATTTCTTGATCTGGTTCATGAAAACCAATTTGTCGTATTCGTTGGTGAAACTGGTTCCGGGAAAACGACACAGTTAGTAATATATATTTTTGTAATCGGTTACAATAGATTCTAATATTGACATTAATTTTTATTATTCTTAAAGAATTCCGCAATTTTTATGTTATGATGTGCTTCCCCATCTAAAGAAAAAACAAATTGCATGTACACAGCCACGTCGAGTTGCTGCTATGTCGGTAGCCCAACGTGTAGCTGATGAAATGGATGTGAAGCTTGGTGAAGAGGTCGGATACAACATCCGTTTTGAAGATTGTTCGGGACCCAAGACTATGCTAAAATATTTAACAGATGGTATGCTTTTACGCGAAGCTATGAATGATCCAAATTTGGAAAAATATTCTGCTATTATTCTCGATGAGGCACACGAACGTACACTAGCGACTGATATTCTTATGGGTTTAATGAAGCAGGTGAGTAACAAATTAAAGCTTCAACGGATCAATGATTTAATATTAAGATTCGAAATTATTATTTAGATTGCCAAAGTACGTAAAGATCTAAAGGTCATTGTAATGAGCGCTACTCTTGATGCCGATAAATTCCAAAGATATTTTAATGAAGCACCGGTTCTTGTATGTATCACTTAATTTAATGTAAAATGATAACATTTTTTATGTCTCTATATTTGTTTAATTGATCAGAATTAGATACTAAATAGATACAATTAAAATTGGTTTTATATAGACTGTTCCTGGTAGGACTTTCCCGGTAGAGATTTATTATACACCTGAAGCTGAACGAGATTACCTTGAGGCAGCTATTCGTACAGTCATGCAAATCCATGAGTTTGAAGATCCTGGAGACATTTTACTATTTTTGACTGGAGAAGAAGAAATTGAAAATGCATGTTTAAAGATTCGTACGGAGAATGAAGAATTGATGAAACGATCCGATTTGGGAACCTTAAAAGTTCAGAGAAAGGGAGAAAGAGATTGCAGAGTAAAAACAAAGAGTAAGAGATTTAGAAGAAAGAGAAAGATGGAAAGTTGAAGAAGAAAGGTTTAGAAAAGAAAAGAATAAAGAAGTTTTGTTGAGTAAAGTGAAAGATTATAGGAAGATGTGAGAAGAAGTAAAAGAAGAAAAGTTAAGATATGAAGAAGTTGTGAAAGAAAAAGGAGTAAGAGAGATTTTTATGATAATAGAAGAGTATAGAAAGGAGTTGGAGAAACAAGGAAAGCAGTTAGAATATGTTGATGAGAAGTTTAAGGGAAGTAAAGAGTTTTATGAAAAAGAGATAAAGATGTTATAGGAGAATAATAATAGGTTAGAAAAAGAATTTAAAAAGTTTCGAGAAGGTGTGAACAAAGAATTGGAAAGTTATAGAGAGTTTTTAGCAAAGTATAATATTGGAGATATTTTTAAGAAAATAGTTGAGTATAAGGAGAAGTTCGAGAAAAAGAAGAAGGAATATAATCAGATATATAAATATTATAATGATATAATAGTATTTAGAGGAAATAAGGTGAAGGAGTTGAATAAAAGAATTGATAAATTAGAAGAAGAAAAAGAAGGTTTAGAGGAGGAAATTTGTGAGATGAAATTAGAATTTTAAAATTATAATAAAAAAAATTGTTCGAAAAATAAAAATAAAATAAAAATAAAGTTTTAAGAAGTTGTTCAATAAACTTCTAATAAAAATAAAGTTTAAAAGTATTCAAAAAGGAAAAAAAATAAATCAGTTTCTAAAATTATTTAAAAAAAAAAAAAAATTATATAAAAAAAAATAAATCTGAGTCTAAAATTGTTTAAAAATTAGATATTTTCATCAGGTTTCAAAAATTTTCACTGAAAATTCTGTTTCAAAAATTATAATAAAATAAAAATTGAAATAAAAATTAAAATTAAAGTATTTCTAATCGAGTAAAGAAAATACTTAAAGTATGTAAAAAGTATTAAAATATGATTACTATTATTCGAATAAATAGTAATATAAAATAAAATAATAAAGTAAAAATATAATAGATGTTATAACTTAAGGGATACCACTGAAACTTGTCAGTTAGAATTGTCTCACTCTAAGCTGGAATTGAACTCTTGACCTAGAGATCGACTAGGTATACATGTCCAAACTATTATCCTACAACTACTTAATAGCTAAAATTTTTTACAGATTCTTTTTAGATAACAAGATTTTGCTAACAATTGTCTAATAAAATAATTTAAATTTAGTCATATTGTTATAAAATAGGTTTTAGCATATTTCTTAAATATTGTATTTTCATATTATTATATATAGTTAGATTTAG